ACGAAGAAAGGTTGAGAGTCTCTTGGAATGGAATCTCAATGTGAATTATTAGCGCCTGGTTTATACAGGGCGATGCACTTGTTGTTTGAACTTCTGACTGAGCACAATATGTTTTCTTTATATATTTCGCCACAGATACAAGATCTAATTACAGAAAAACGCTTTACAAGTGATGAAAAACAAATACACATACAAAAAACAGTATCATGGGTTGATGATACTAAAAATACCCTAAGTGTATATATCAGAAATCCAACATCAATGCAGTAGCAGCACACAAATTAGTATATTCCTGAACGTTAATTCTACCCCTAAAATATATAAAGATGCATACTAAAAGTACTGAAAAGCTAATAAAGGTTCAAGTCACTGAACAGCTTTTAAGTATGACAATATTCGTCTTTTATATGCAGAGACACCCAAACATCACTGACGAGGTAATGTGTACGAGAGAGAAGCGTGCAATACGTCTGTTAGAAAGGGTGCACCGATGGCAACGTGGCCAGCCACAGCTGCGTCCGCGGCCTCGTCACTCGGGTTGCTAGGTAACGTGGTGCTTCTCTCTTTCTAACATACGTATTTTACGCTTCTCTCTCGTATACATCACGTCGTCAGTGGTATATGGATTTCTTTGAATATGCTCACTTATATCAAAATCAAAGAAGCTAACCTCGTTAAAGCATTTCGATATTCTATATATAGTATCTACTCTTATATGAAGCGGGTGCTAGCATAATATTTTTAAAACTTATTTAAAATTAGTTAAGAACAAAGGAGTCAAAAATATGTATGGGTGAATATACGGTATTTGGGTTTTCAGTGTCAACTAAGAAAAATAGTTTATTTTGTTTTCATATTCATCATATTTCAAGAATATAAAATACAGGGTCGAATAATATTTTGATTTTTACAGCTTTTATGGGTACCAGGGGAAAATGTGGCCAAGGGACTGACATTTAAACTACGAAAAATATACTTTAAACCTGATTTAAATACCATCAGATAAATGAATTCAATAGTTCTTTTTGAAAATAACAAGACCTCATTTCCTTCGATATTGAAACAAGATAATCGTATGGATTGAGAACTTACAGACCCTCAGGTTAAAGGTTGTGTTTGGAAGCTGAAATTTACATCACAGATAAAACTGATTTTGTCAAGCTGTAAAGGAGATAGCAGTTTGAAATTTTATTTCAATAATTTAATAGTAAGGGTAACTGACATTTAAATCAATTCTACAAAATAAAACTGCAGCCACGAGGCTTCGAGCAATAATTTCGAAGCAAAAAATCCTCGCGTGCATTCAATTTAATAACCTGCCATGGTGAGACTTCCCAGAAATAACTTCTTGAATCCAGTTAATTAAGCCATGGGCTCATTATTTGTTGCTCTGCTAAATAATTCAAAAGTACTAAAGTAAAAACAATAACCCTTTGACGCTCGCAAATATACATTATGTTCATACATGTGAATGACAGTGTTACCATATTATTGCTGTTAGTTGTAGCATTTTTGGTACCTGCATGTATCCTACTTTATGGTTTTATTCGCATATACTTTCTCGATTTTTTTAATTCAACATAAAGCTTGTCAGTCATAGTAGACTTACTGTAGTTGCTGACCAAGAAAGGAACTGTGCCGTTTCTCTATATGGTCACAAGGTTCTTCACAAATACGCAAGTGCTTGGCTTTAGATAGACGAGACGGGCACAAAAATAATGTTGACTGTTTATAAATAGATCAGACCACATCAGTGCAGTACCTACTTGTTTGCTGCCTAAAGGAAGTGCAAAAAGTTCCTTGATAGCTTAATTAAAAAAATATTGGTAATATCGTTTTCGTTCGTCTGACCATGGGCAGCTGTTGCGTGCTATTAGACCATGCTTAGGAGTTACCAAATAGCACTAAACAGCTATCCACGGTTGGCCCTCTATAGCACCAGAATCGGCGGCATCTAGCGGCCATAGTGGTGACCCGACTGACAGTTCCAACAGACCGCTCGCTGTTTTCACTCTCGCGGTGGTCGATTCTGGTAATAGATGGCACCTTGTACTGTCTTAATTCGATAAAAAAAAATATTTACTTTGACAAGCAACGGCGAGCAAAAATCCATTAACTGAAAATGTAAGCACAAGAAATTCAATATACATATATAAAAGGAGATGCTATACAGCCAAGTGCAGGACGGTCTTAAGTTATGTAGGTGCTCCTGGGCGTACATGAAGGCTTGGCCTGTGGCTGTTTGTGAACATTGCTGAGGATGGGAGGGGGTGTACGCATTTTTTTTAAGTTTAGATCGATTTTTGGGTATTTGGGGTCCCTTATCAAGGCATGGCCCTAGGCCCGGGTCTCGTGAGCCTATAAGGTAAAGACCGAATAGCCCAGGTGTAGAATTAAAGAACATAGATGTTGATATAACTAAAGGAGAAAGATCAAATTGCACAAAATGGATAAGAACTACATATGGTAGTGAATCAATCAATTTGAGCATCAAGAGATTCGCCAAATCTTCAGAAAAAATACGATATTTTCTGGGTTTTTCTTCTGAACAAATGGAACGATTTTGCTTTCATTGGCTATTTTCCTCAAACCCGCTGTTTGGCGCACTGAAATCAGTAGTCTGACTGAAAATTGAAGTTGAAATTAATTTCGATGACGCCTTGCCGTCATATATTTGATCCATTTTGATAACTTTGATACTGTCATAATAATTTGACTATAAAAGATCGCCAGAATCAGGTGTCAAAACCATCATAGAGGTTTATATGTATGACGGGAACGCGACATCGAAATTAATTTCAACAGCCAAAGTTAATTTAGAATCAGGCCCCAAGAATGCGTCAGCTGCTCACATAGTGTCGGCACAATACGCTTTTGGCAGTGGTTTCAGTATTTTCCTTGTAAGTATACTCTTGTGTATTTCATTAGTATATTACTAAAACGATGAAAGCGACGGCTGCGACCCGCAATCAAAAAAAAAAATCTAGCTCCCAAAGACAACCACTACCCCGAGGGTGTGTAAGCTCTCAATCTATATGATTCTCTTGATTTCAGGTCGATGGAACTAAAGACTTGATATTTAATTTATTTAGCTAATGGTATTTATATCACGTTTGAAGTATATTTTTAATATTTTAAATGTGACCACTTCTGGTACCTCTGACTGTGTCAAATATATATCACATGTCATATAGGTAATCTTGTGACATAATGAATATGGAAACAAAATAAGCTATTTTTCGTAGATGACAGTGAATACTCAAATAACGGTATTTATTTTTATAATAGATTATACTGATATTCACCCTACACTTTTAAGTCGATTATATGAAATGGAACTGGGACATTTTGTTTACTCTTACCGACAGCTTGGCCTATGATAAGGTATTAAATATTAATGATAACGTACACATTTAGCTTACAGTAAGAAAGACTTGTTTATACATTGTCAAGTGGCTAAAGAGATACAAGGGTGAGACGTTCGAGTCCTGAGAGTGGTGTGGAACACGTTTGGTAACACACCCTAAACGCTACAAACATGGCAAAATACGTCCGCATATAATCGTTACTGATATCACCGCTAACTTTGATTATTCGCGTATTTCTCGATCTGTAATAACACGAACTTTGAGTACCATATTCATGCGCGAAAAATTTGTCTTGGCACCATCGTCTGCTCAAGACAGTGATTAGTTCATCAGTCCTTGTAGATTAATACTAGTCACTCAATAAAATAAGTATTAATCTTTTAACATTATTAGCGTAGTAAACAACATGTGACAGCCATAACTTTTACAAATTGCCAACATCTAAGCATTTTGAGTATGTGGATGTTTATAGTGAAACATCTTTTATGATGTGATGGCTTACACATACTGGAAGCAAATGGAGCTAATTACAGAAGAATGATTTGCACACGATCTAAATTCAGTAAAGGAAAATATTTAGTAGAAACTCTTTTACTTAGTAGTCGATAGCCCTCGTGTCATGTTATATAGAAAATGCAAAGATATTATTTATAAAAATTTATATTAATAAAATGGTAAAAATCATTCCTGAAAAGGAGAGGCACTCGTTTTATTCTAACAATATTTTTAATCAGCAAACAGAAGTTAAAAGTAACTATAAATTGAAGATACTTTGATCCTAGAATCAGCATTGGCGACTCCTCTTCACGGCAAAATATTTGAGGTCCTGATCAACTATTATTGGAGATCCGATAGATGTGCATAGGCATAAAGTTCTGCGAGAGATGAAAGCCTGATTTTCGTCACTGTCACTGTGACATACTCTAACAGTAACTAACTAGATCAAGCAGTAAACACTTGTGTGTTGAGCCTTTCAGAGCTATTTTGATCAAGGGATCATGAGGAAAAAGTATTATTTAGAATAACATATAACTAATATGAGAAAACAATTTTTTTTGTAAATCATAAAACTTCTGACCTGAACTTTCAAAAAATCAGAGCTGTTTTTTGCTTTTCAAAACATTTCGGGAGCGTATTCGTAATGTTTGTACTGGCCTTCCTTAGGAAAATTCCTGCTTACGCTTATGGTAATTGCTAGGATAGTTTTCAAATAGTTAGTAGCACCAAGATCAAGGGACAGCCAGTCACTGTCTCATCTTCTGTGTATGTATGTAGGTCATATCGATATCATCGTTTCTAACAACCTTCTGGCATTATTCTGACGTGAACTGACGCTCTAACGCCGAATATGCTACTTTAATAACCAATTACGAGGGATATCTTTTAAGTTTTGCATATGGAAATAAAACAACACGGTAGGTAGTTTTAAATGACTTTATTGTTTTTCGAAGTATTCTCCACGAAGATTAATACACATCTGCATGCGCTCGAACCAATTTTCGAAGCACTAATTCCACGCGTTTGCTGGCAGATCCAAAACGGCATTTTTGCTGCTTCTTCTGGTGACTGGAACCTTTGACCATGCAGTCTGTTTTTAATTTTCGGGAAAGTAAAGAAATCGTTAGGACTTAGATCGGGACTATATGGAGGATGGTCCAATAATTCCACGTTTTCTTCCGTCAAATACTGAATTGTTTTTTGGGCTGTATGCGAGCTTGCATTGACTTGGTGGAGGATGATTATTCTTTGGGGGTTGATTTTTCGAAGCTCGGTGATGACTTTTGGCAAAGAAATGGTGGTATACCAATCCGCAGTAACAGTTCTTAGCTCATTAAGAGGAATTGTTGCAATATGACCCGCTTTTGACACAAATGTCGCGACCATCTTTTTCGAAACACTTCGAGAACGGATGACTTTTGTTGGCTTTTCTTCACCTTGGAACACCAAAACAGTAAATCCACGATTGATCACCACTAACAATGCTGTACACATTTTTTGAGTTTCCGGAATTGAAACGGTCAAGCGTTTTTTGACACCAATTAACCCTGGCCGCTTTCTGCTCTTCAGTCAACAGGTGGGGTATCCAGCGAGAAACTAATTTTCTTACTCCTAATCCTTCATGTACATTTTTTGATTTGAGGTCTTTGATATCTTCAAGGACGCCTCAATCTCGCGATATGAAATATGTCTATCTTCAATGATGAGTTTGCGCACAGCATCGACGTTTTCCTGGGTGACTGCCGTTTTTGGTGCACCCACCCTGAGATCGTCGCTAAGACCACGTTTGAATTCTCCATATCAACGGGAAATTGTCGACTGATGTGGCGCTTCGTTGTCCAAAACAGACAGTAACTCAGCAAGGCATTCTTGTTGCAATAATTGTCTCTGAAAGTTGTAATAAATTATAGCGCGAAAATGTTCTCGGTTGAGTTCCATTTTTCTAATGACTTGGCGACACTTAAAAATTCACTGTAGTGAGAACACTGCACGTATTGCTGTGAAGCTTTGAATTTAAGTTTACTAAAGAGTGAGGTTAAGATTCAGTACTGACGTTCGATCCGCGCGGCCTACTATGTTTCTATATGCAAAACTTAAAAGACATCCCTCGTAAACCCATTGAAAGCAAAACACTATCAACGTACCCCCTTCCTGACTCCAACCCAGTTTGCTGAGGAATTCTTGTGATTGATTATACCCAATTAAATTTCGTGAAATTATAATCAATCTTTCACCTGGATAGAGCGTAAATTAAACGTAAAATGTTGCAGACATCCGCAGATATTATCCGTTATACGTACGAAAGCCGGTCTGAACGACTTTTTGCATTGCACGCCGCATGCCTAAAAGTCCGCTGGAGGAATTTTGAGAATTTGCACTTTTTCTCAAGATGCAAGTCACCTTATAAGGCCCTTCGTGTACGCACCATTAGGGTAGACGTATGGAGAGCTTTGGCGGCTTTTGCTGTAAAAAACGAGCTGCGCAAATTGAAAGCCCTGCCAAGATCGTTTGGTGTAGTCAACAAATTCGGACTAGGTAGAAGGAGCAAGTATACGGTTTGTTTGTTACCAAAAGTACGTAGTCAGGATGCAAGCTCATACTGCAAGTCGGTCAGGCTTAAGCCGACTGTTTAACATTTGTTGACATTTCACATTAAATTTTAGTGCGAAAGATGTAAAATAATAATAATAACTTTTATTTCCGGACTGCTACACATTGGAATTATCAATTTCAGTAAGTTATATCATGAATATACAGGGTGTAAACGTTATGATAGTCATTATTTAAATGGGTGATAGAGGGGGTTAAAAGAAGCAAAAATTTTCATATAACATGGGGTTCAAAAGGCATTTTTTTCGAGAAAAGTGACTTTAAAGTAAAATAAAATCTGACAATGCCGCAATGCCAGACGCAAATTACGACGGAACGCAGTGTAAATAAAGATGGAGTTTGTTATTTTTGGCTCTTGGGTATTATTTCATTATTTGATAATGTACTCGTAAAATGTAAACAATGAAAAAAAAACGGACTTACCACTAACTGTCTCAGCGCTTCACCTGGTGTGTGAAAGTTTATTGAACGTATTAAAAAAATCCACTCATAAATAGGGAACACAATTTTGATACATACATTGTTTTTTTTAAAACCCACACTGCACTTTTTTTGTATTTAAAGAAGGTCTTCAAAATGTCGTCCTCCACTTTCCCCACAAGCTTCAATACGACGAACCCAGTTTTTTCTTACTCTAGGTCCTCGAAGTTGTCCATTTATTATTTCAGCCGCATAAATTTTTTTTTCGCGAAGTTGTGCTTCAGTTGTTATTGGACCAGCCCCATAAAGCATCCCTTTAAGTTCTCCCCAATACCAGACATCCATCGGATTGATGTCAGGAGATCTTGCTGGCCACTTTCGAGGATCAGGAGCATTTCGACCGATCCAGCGATTTGGATAATGTTCATTCAAATACTGAATGACGCCTCTAAAAATGTGCCCCGTCATGAAGACACCACAAATTCTGTCTCTGTTGTAATGGCATGTTGTCTAAGGTCTGTTCCAAAAGTTCTAGTAGGTTATTGGCTAGAAAGCTAAGGTATCCTTCTCCTGACAACTTTGGGGATAACTCGAAAGGGCCAATTACCTGATCGTCAAGAATACCCGCCCAAATATTTATTTTAAAACGTTGTTGGAAATGACCTTCACGAATGGTATGAGGATTTTCTTGGGCCTGCGTGTGAGTATATGAAAATTTAATATCCCGTCTCGCGTAAAAGTACATTCGTCCGTCGCTAGAATTTTTTTAAAAAAATCCGGATTTTCAATGTTTTTGTGCAAAAACCACTGACAGAATGTTAGCCTGCGAGGATAGTCTTCTGGTAACAAGGCCTGCACTCGTTGTACATGGTAGGGATAAAGCAAATTTTTCCGTAGGATTCTATGGATGCGATAGTCCTACGCGGCGGCCTAATTCCCGAGTGCTGATATCTGCATTGATTTCCACGATATTTAAAATTTGTTCCTCCGGCTCTACAGTAACCTGTCTTTCAGGAGTGCGAAGTCTTTGGTACACTTGCACAAATGTCCTTCTGTCTGGGTGTACCCGTTAGCGAAATCTGTCGCGATAAATTTGAGCTGCAAGATTTGAATTCTGACGAGCTTCACCGTAAACTAACAACATGTCGGTGAACTCTTGATTCGAGAACATTGTAAATAATGTAAATAAACACGACGACGTACGCGAACAATAACTAACCACTGTTACCGTTTGCGATCGATTGCCGGTTCGATAAGAGTGATGAATGACCGACGCGCTGTTGTCATGTGTGTTTTAAATATTTTAATGTAATGAAACTTACTTACTTACTGACTACAAATTTTGGCTTAACTTAGAAAAACTTAATGCCATTTATTTGTTAATTACCCAATTTAAAAACGTTTTAGATTAGATTATAAAAACTAGTAAGATTGTGGTCGATATAAAGCACTTAAAGTTTCTAAACTATAATGGTAACTTGTTGTCCAACTTTATAGCCCAAACATTGGGCCCTTTTGAAGTTAAAGACAGTCTGGGATATAAGTACATCTTACATCATTGAATAGATCTCTTGTGACATAAACACACTTTGATCGGAGCTTTTTTCTAACAAAGGTTGATTAAAACAATGTTTGCTAGATTACCATCCTCTTGATTTATGTACCCAATAAATGTGGTTATCAGTGCCGGATTAACCCAGCGCGGGGGCCTGTAGTAAATTATATCAAGAGGTCAGAGGGAAACCCAGTCTGAATTTTTTTGTGGAGCGGGGATGTCGGCTACATCAGTACTTGCAAAAGCAGTTATATCGCCGACTGAAAACTGTCGAGCGGGGGAAGGGGGGCTGGGTGTTTCCGGAGGCTGCACCGGTGCTTTCTGGGAGTGGGAGTGTCGGTGATTGAGAATTGAAGTGGCTCCACTCAGTGTTCTCTCCCCCAGCAGAGATACTTTCATAAAGCATTGCTACCGCCGCCGGTGATAATGAAAAAAAATCCAGTCGGAAATTTTCTCATACAATTGCTAGGTTTTCGCCTCGCGTAATGTCGTCCAAAGCATCAGATGAAACAAAAAATAAAAATAAAGAGAGCTTCGTCGGCTTCTCTTTTCCAATACCGCCCTCACAAACTGAGAGACCCGCAAAGAATCCCGCCTCAGTATAGCTTACACCACATGTTGACTGGATGTCGTGGATCCTTTTTCATGTGTATTGTGTGACTTGTGTAACTTTAGAATTCGTGGTAATGGGCCGTATCTAAACCTCGTAATGGGATATGTGTTCCGCAGGGTGTTCTCTTGAATAACATTCAAGGGCAATTTAAAAATAGAATGAAGTAGGAGCACTTAACGAGTGACATATGAATACGAGTATGTACGATGGTATCAAAACAAGGGTAAATATTCGTTTGTTTATCAAATGTGATATTCCAATGTATCAAACACTATTAGGAGTTCGGTTAGATGAGTCGCATTCAAGGTGGGTGTGCGTAAACTAAGCATAAAGTTAACGCATACAAAGGCAGGGGGGCAGTCTAGAATGATTGTTACCCTGGGTTAATTTGGGATGGTAATTTGGAATATGGTCATTAGAAAATCGCTGGGACCTCTCATCCATATCAGCAACAACGGATTCGTGATGTACACAAGAAGCGGGTTTATCTTTGCGCTGAAAAACCATCTCAGGAAATATCTGGTTGAAAAATGCTTTTATTCTCTACATGAGTTTTATTAACACATGAAAGTATTTGTTTTTTAAATATTTTAAGCTGTTAGTCATTCGTTATCAGTGAATTGTCTATTATCGTGGAGTAAATGTATTTTAATTTCACTTTTTATTCGAGTTTTAACGAAAGTATGGATGATTTCTTTTTAAGCTTTTAACCATTTGTCCTCACTGCTCTATGTTTATTGTGTTTATATATACTAAGTGACATATAAATCCGAACACCCAGTTTAAATGGTTTTATTTTAATAAAAGTTGGTGAATGTATTTATCTTACTGTAAATAACAAGTGAATAAATTATCAGCCTTATCAGTTGGACATTCCGGTTTTTATACTGCTTTTTTTTAATTCACTAATGCTCTAAAAATGAATATTTCAGCCGCAGTAAGGAATCAACGTTGGCGGATTTTTGTTCTTGACATCCTTTACGATCGGTTACGATGCCTAGAGTACGGAGACCTGTACGATTTCGTCAACTTAGTGAGTTTGATAGGGGCCGTATAGTGGGACTTCGGGAAGCTGGACTTTCTTTTCGGGCAATTGCAGTTAGAGTGCAAAGAAGTGTAGACACTGTGGTTAGGTGTTATCAGGGATGGCTTCGAGAAGGCCGTACGCAAAGAGCAAGGGGCACTGGACGCCGCCGTAGAACAACAGACCGTGAAGATCGCCGCCTAAGATTATTGGCCTTAAGAGACCGTTTCTCCACTACCAGGTCCATTGCAAATGAATGGTTTGCAGAACACGGAAGACCTATTGGC